TTAAGCGCCATAATGTTGTTTTAGGCCTACTAGTCAGACAGATGGACAAATAGATAATACTGTGATCTGAAATATCAGATGTTCCAATTAAGCATCCCTTCACTTTAGATCCATCAATGGTGTTCATCAGAAACAGGTCAATCCTGGAGTGGACTTTGTGGGTAGAAGAGTAATGAGTAAATTCTCTTCCGGAAGTCGAACGAATTTAGATATTTTAAGGCTTTAATTTTATACAGATGAATTTAAGAATGATGGGCAGACTCCCTGAGGAAGGCCCTCCAACCTCAAAGACTGTCTGTCCCAAAGAAAACAAATGGTGAAAATGGTGGTGGTAGCAATCATCAGTGTTAAACATTGATTTAGACAATGTTAAAAAGGCAGAAAATAAATCACCACACTGAAGTCCTGTTCTTTCACTTTTCTTGTGGATGAGGGAAACAAGAGCTCACCTGTTCTTCGTAGCCCTCAACTTTCACTGGAGTAAACTGGTCCAAGTTGTACTGTGCAAAAGCACTAGAAGAGAAAAAAAAAACAATTTTATTATTACAATTTACACCCTATTTTGATCCATTCTCCAAGTATAAAGTCATATTTTAGTTGTTGATCAAAACAATGTACAAGGATTAGGAAGAAAATAGCGACTCATGGCTAAAAGGATCACTGTTAATCTGTCAAAGGATTTTCTTTTAAAAATAATCAGAGCACTGCTTTATAAAGTTTCTGAACTAAAGCACCTCTGACAGTGTAATCAGTATGCCCCCCTCTGCTGAGCAGTAATTGGCCATGAGCCAGCAACAGGATATTTACTGGATCAAGTCTGCTCTGTGGCAACCAGAAGGTTCTCCGCGGGTCAGAGCCACTTTGGCAGCGTAAAAAAAGGACCAACGGCACATTCAGCAATTGTGGTCAAATTGTGTCGGCTCATCGGGTTTCGTTGACAACGTCTGGGTGACATGGAAACAGGCTACAGAACTTCAGAGGCAACAAATGGCAACAACAAAACAGACTTACTGTGCTGCACCCTCCCTGAGAAGATTGTCATTGTTGAGCAGCAATCGCACATCTGGGGAGAAAAATGGAGGGATTACAAGTGAGAAAGTGGAAAAAGGTGAAGCCACAGGCTGCAGCTCAATGTCACAAACACAAATTTGCCTCCTATTACTCTTTACAGGGTTTATGCCAGAGAAAAGGAAGCAGACACGCTAAATTAGCTCGGTGGAAAAGGGTACAAAATTACTAAGAGATCAAAGTGAGCAAAGTGCTGGGGGGGGGTCTATTCTTGCGGGTGTCTGTCAGACTGTGATAAGCTGCAGACAGACCCCCTCTCCCCTCATCCTCCAGTGTTCCTCAGAGGTGGCGACAGATCATGGTAGGATTTTACGATGTCAAAACACACACTTAGAATCCCTAGAGGGCACAAGCACAAGCTCGTGTTGTGGAGACTGAGCTGCAATTGGCCGAAGCATCTCATTCTCTGTTGTATCGGTGGGAGCAGTGGGACAAAAAGAGGGGAAACACTGACATATTGTCATCTTTTACAGCAAAAGGTAAAATGAAAGGTTGAGGTTGTTAAAGAGGGAAAGATTCCTGCTCCGTGCACAATGAGACAACATAATACAGCTCCGCTTCACAGTTTCTGATGTAAAATCAACAACTTTTGGACTTGTTAAAAAGTTAATGTAGCATCCCTGACTGAAAACAGGTTCTGTACAGCACAATTTGTAAACTTTGGTACCTTTCTTTTGTTTGTGCACAATTCAAAGAATATCAGTTTTACAGTATTTTTTTTTTTTTTTTGCATTTTAAAAAGTTTATTCTTGCATTATTCCAACTTTATTCTGCTGATATTATGCCAATCAACTTTACTTATACCAGTAGGTAGATTTGGTTACAGTGAGGTGAGTCAGCTTTCTTACCATGACTTTGTTCTTGCAGAACTACAACCTTGTCATACAATTTTTTTCTCATAATATTAGGAATTTATTTCCGAAATGAAAAAATAAATAAATAAAAATCATTAACCTGGCCCTAATACTCCATTATAAAAGTGATTGCTGCAAGCCACGCCCCCTTGGTTCTGCAATCTCAACTACATTATCTGAAAGCAGCTCAGGGCCTGAGATCTTGATGGATCAATGTATGATGCACAAAATGAGATCAAACTGGGGGTTTGGTTGTGTGTTTACTGCAAATATACAAAGAAATCTACAATTCTAATCTAGCAAATGTTTACAGTACATTGTGAGTGTGTACATGCCGTTCTCACTAGCAGCAACATGTCTGTGGCGTTGTCATTGCCATCTATCAACAGAAGAGTCAGATAGGAACAAAGGACTTCTGCAGCCCGCAGCTTTTAAATGGCCTCAGACTAAAACGTCAGGATCAGAAAAAGAAATGAGGAAAAGAAATGAGGTACTGGGAAATGTACACAGTCCAGTGCCATTGAGCAGGACATGGGACTCTGGAATTGCAGCATGAAAGCTGTTTTCTTCTGTAACATGGTAATATTTAAATTATGTGATGATGAATTGTTAAAGAGGCAGTACATGTTCTCTAGGCAAATAATGACATTTTATAGCAGAACAAGTAGCTAAGTTGCCTTCAGTTGTTATAAAAATTCTGTATATGTCAAATATGACTTAAAAGAAATTTGACTTGGTAATTTAACGCCTTGAAATTGGGCCTCTGTCTCTTTAAAAACTCCTGCTTACTCTGCAACTCCACCTTCAGGAAGTCATCACAACATTGTTCCACTATTAACCCTTTAACAACATTTTTACCAGAGTTGGACTGGGAAGTAGCTCCTATAATGAGCTCAGTAGACTCGCAGTTCCAACAGGTATTTGCTAATTGTGGCTGGCTAGTCTATGGGGAAGTCGCAGGTGAGGAGTTCTCTGTGAGACGGAAGCTCGGAAACTGCAGCTCTAAGGAGGAGCTCGAAGGTGGAGCTATGTTCGCCCATATTAAAGGATTAAAGATTAAAGGATTTCTCAATCATGCATGAAAGAATCAAAGCAATATTAAAGGTATGATTTTGATGAGGAAATAACATTGTAATTTGATGTAAAGCTCAAAAAAGTTGTTTTTACATAATACTGCCTATTTAAAAAGTTGTGTAAACTTAACATAAATCAGGCCAATCAAAATAACTTTGAAAGTTGAATTGTGGAGATCAATTCATTTGTTACTGTTAAATGAAAAAGAATCGGAGCACTCACCATTGAATACTTCGTTGAACTCTCCTGGCGGGGCATGGATGACAAAGTTAGCTGCTATGCGTACCTGCAAGCAAACCAGTAAAACATGAGTACAGATCAAAAATCACTGACAGAACTCACTGACAATAATCAGCTCTTTCAGGCATTTGCAATGAACTACACAGAATCTATTAGAATTCCTTCATCAAACGAAAAAAAAAAAAAAAAATCAGGAAAGTGTTTTTGATTAAGTATGCACATATAACGCCTTGTAAAAGTGCAAATACGCCCTGACCCTTTGCACATCGAGTTAAATTACAACCATTAATTTCAAAGTGTTTAATTGAACTTAAATACCAACCAAAACCAAAAGTGGAAGAAAACTGGTACCTAGTTCTGAGATTATACCATAAATTGCTTGGGTCTAATTACAAATCCAATGACTTCTAAAGGTAATTAGTTGTAATGGAATTAATTTAGGAGAATCAAAGTAAAGTGGGGCATCAGGGTGTTCAAGATGTCTTTCAAATATCGTTACCTTCCATGTGTCATAAATGTGTTACTTTTCAATGGTCCAACACATCAAATCCCAATAAAGTGCATTAAAGTGTGAAGATATAAAGTGACAAAACGTGATATTTATTCACGAGCTAAGTACTTTGGTATGGGTATCAGAAAAGTCTTTGAGAGTCATATCAATGTTTTAGAGTTAGGAACCTGAAAAGTGTGTGTTTAAAATCGCAGGAAGTTGAAAATGTGAATAAGCTGATGAAACCAAAGACTGATCTGTGCTTAAATGTATTGGTTTCTTTTAAAATAATAAACACACAAATTCAAATATGGAATTTGCCTCAGAACAATTTTAGAGTTTTCATCTAGTTTTGTATGATAGGAGGAAGCATGGATTTGATTTATTTTTTTAATTGAATTCAAAAAAGAAAAATAGCTAACATACAGGGAAAGATAACACTGACATGTATTCTGTTATTTCAGGTGATTGGTTAATATTAGTTTATTAAAGAGAAGTAAAAGTCACAAAAAATATTATTTTTGGTGATTCTGAGAATTTTAATATGGTTATTACAATTCTCAAAAACTAAACTGACTAGGATTTAAAACTCAATTCAGTGCATCGTTCAAATGTCTGTGACTGTAATAACCCTTTAAAGAGTTGAACAAAATGCTTCAAAATGAAAACAGACCCCATCAAAGCTGCGCTAAAAAAATACATTTTGCTGAAACTTCTGTTTCTGAAGCAGCAAGTTCTGCATTCACCAAAAAAAAAAAAAAAAAAAAAAGCTGTGAATGTTCTCCATCTACACACTGCAGCCAACAGAGGGTGTGAGGTGTCTGCGTAACAGGTTTGGAGGGAGGAGTAATACCCCGTCCTGTCAGTTGGCCTGCAGCTACACCAGCAGTCCTAATTACTTTACTTCTCTTCTGCTGCGCAGCACAGCACTTCCTGTTTCCAGGTCACATGTCCAACTGACAGTGAGACAGCAACCCCTCCCTCCCCTGCCTGGTTTACAACCATATAAGGAAATGAAAATGTGCTGAGGCTGGTAGTGCACAGTTTGTTAGCCTACCTCTGTATCTCTCTGCCACTATCACTGGAAGGGTACAGTGGAACCAGTCGGGGTGCTTCTGGTATCACCAGTTAGTTTGCTAGAGAAGGTGTTTATACATGCGCGTGTGGTTGAGACTATGTGCTTTAGAGTGAGTAAGTGTGTTTGTCCCCGGGGCCTTTATTAGCAGTGTGTGTATGTACAAGTGCTGTGGTACCCTCTCAGAACTACAGATTGATTCTTGCTAATGAGTGATGCAAAGAGAAATGAAGGCACTAAGGAAGGTACACATCTGGTGTGTGTGTGTGTGTGTGTGTGTGTGTGTGTGTGTGTGTGTCAGGATCAAATTCAAACTTAGCTTTCATTAGAGCTATCCCTTGTAAAATGGTCAGGGTCCAATCAATGAACAACTCAACTTTACAATAAGAGGCGTGTCTGATCTGGAGAAAGATGGTGGGAAACTGAATGTGTGAGTTTGGGACACAGGAAGAGTCCATCGTTTTAACTGGATGGGAGAATAAAGTATAACTCAGAGGCCTTTTCTCTGACAGATACTGGTTTCCATCTAACTAATCATAATACAACTATAGAAGCACCTTGGTCCCTTTTGTGCTGAAGTCACAACATCAAGCTAAGCCAGTTACATGGAGTACATTTATACTGTCACAATGATGAATAGTAATGCACCAAGTAAGTGGTAATTTAATTTTTTTTAAACCAGCAATTCCACTTCATTTGTACGCCCCTTGCTTTGTGGCCTTTCTAAGGCTATGTTCACACACTGGGTCTTAATGCTCAATTCCGGTTTACTATGCAACTGCATTTAAAAATGGATGCTGCTATTTATGGATCAATTTTCATGGTTATTCAGAAATAGAATTCAACAGTATTGTCAAAAGATCACAGCAACATTAAAAAAAGCTCAACTATTAGAAGTGGTCTTTAGAAAAGTCTAGACGTGTAGTTAAAACCAGGAGTGGTGGGATTATGCGATTCAGTGAAAGACTTTTTCATAATGATAATTTTCAGTCATTGTTTTGGATAAACAATGCTTTCATACATCACACTTTCCGGAAGCTACTTCATAAATATAAAAATTGTGGCTTCATAGAGAAACACTGTGAAGCAGTTTCTCTATAATTTTGTGTAAAATTGGAACTAGATTAAACTGTTTTAATCTAGATTTTAACATGTTAAAATTAACACTTTTTTTAAACATGCAAAGACTCTGGATGGAACCTTTNTANTNACACGTTTCTAGTATGCCCATATATCTGATGCACAAGCGACATCCAGAAACAACAGCGGACGAGAAAGCCGCTTTTCTTGCTTTCTAATTTCTGCTTTAAAAAACAAACTAATGGGATGCTGGAAAAGACTATTGTGTTCAAGTTGTGGTAAAAGGAGTTAGCCTATTAGTGAAGATATTCATAGCATCTCAAAGCTAAAAACGCAGCAGCAGCACAGGCACCCAAAACGCTAACGTTAGCATCCACACCCCACATTTCTAAGGTTTTTGTTCAAAGTTCCATGTATGATCAGGTATTCCTGAAACACCTGAAACCTGAACAGATATAATAGCACTTTGCACCAAAGTGATGGGTGAAGAAACCGAATAACAGATTAAAATCAAACATCTTTGTTGTTGAGTAACAACAACAAAGATTTATTTATTTATTTATTATTTATTTATTCAATAATTTAGCAGCAAAAAGTGTTATTGAATTGAAAATGTTGCTTGTTTTATCAATATGCATGTCATACTTTGGTTAAAATGCAATAATTTACAAGTAATCAAAAATTTGAGGACTCCCAACAGTACATTATACTAAACTCTTCTCTAATAACACTCGGTGTGTGTGTGTTGAATGTGCAATGTTTGAATTTACAGTATGACTGATGTGTTTAAAACCAGAGGATGTAAGGAGCCATCTGAACTAAAACGCTTTCTGATATTTTTGAGACATGTCTGGTGTTTAAAACAAAGAAAGAGCAAAACTTTCAGTGAGTAACACAAAGGTAGATTGGAGTATAGAAGTTGCTCAGTTTAATCTTTCTGATCTATTATGGAGAATGTTGGCAGACTTTTGGATTCCTTAGAGTTAAGATAAGGGTTAGAATTGCATTTTCTAGGGAATACACCCAGAGAGCAATGAAATTATAATGGTAAGTATGCCAATTGTTGATATATGATGCTAAAGACAGTTTTAAATATTCGCGTCAAAATTATTTGTCTCAGTTTTAAAATAGTAAAATTCTTTTACAGAGTGTGTTCCCTTTCTCTGCTGTTGGCAGAAAGAGCCCCAGGGTTACGCTGAAAATCACTCAACATCATCACTGAAAGCGTTTGGACGACATCTTTGAAATGCTATTGATAGGCGCTCTGCAGTTCCATCACTGTGCTGCTCTTCACTGGCTCATCTCACGCCGTTAAAATTCTTCAACAGGCTTCAAGTGTTTCAGATTTGTCCTCAACTCCGTAAAGTCCTCAAAAACGTAGCGCTACCGAGTCGCCTTTCACATCTTCGTATGGAGAAGAACAATACAAACGACATTAGGTGACGGCAACACTGAGTCCCACGCTGTGAGGATTAGCTGATCACCATTTGTTCAACTTAAACAGGAGCGACTGCCTTTGAGTTGCTGTGTGAAGCAGACCTTCATCTGAAAAACATGCAAGTCTGCTTCAGACTCCATCTGCTTCTGATGGGGAGAATTTAATAGGGATTCAAATTTTAGGATGTGGAGAAATGTGAAAGAGTTTTGATAGTCGTTTTGAACAAGTTTATCTGTATAGAGATGTTGTGCAAGAAGCTCTGATACTGAAGGAGAGCTGAAAGGAAAGAGGCAAAAGAATAGGTCTTTACGCAGTGAAAAGTAGAGTTTCACAGGCTGAAACAGTTTCATGTGTAAGCAGGACTGGAAAGGCCTGCAGAGACGCTGCAACCAGATTCAACAATGTGTCAGCAGGGAGGGAAGTTAAATTAAACCTTTTCTGTTGGCTTTTCCAGCAGAACACCACAGAGCCTGGCCCCTAAAGATAAAAAATGTACAAATTTAATTTAGCTCCTGTAACAAAAAATAAAATAAAATCTGTACTAATAAGTCATTATCAGGGTAGCAGGATGTTCTTTCACCTCTAAACTCTCCCGTAAGCTAACAAGGGACTACCTATAAATCAGCCCGAGTTTCCTCAGCTTTAGGCGATCGGTCAACACTTGCATCTGAAACCAATCGTACCCACTGCGAAGGTCTGAAAATTCTGCCATTGCAGCTGTCTTAGCATTTTTGTTGCTACCTGTAGGCCAAATCTACAGAGATAATTCTAGGTGGATGTTGGAATTATCTCCAGGATAATTCCATGGTTTCCATGCAGATTCGGAGTCTTAGAAAAATCAGAAGAGATTGTTTTTGAAATCGGGTTCCAGAATGGATACAGTTCAGAACTCCGGCTTCAAATAAACATGGCGTCGTTTGGCAGGGATTTTGGTTGTCCTTCATTATATTGGGACTGTAATGG